CTAACATAAACACGTATGTAATTCCAACTTTTATTAAGTATTGTTTAAAATGATTTTTTTATTTTGCTATAATACTTTGACATTACAATATTCCCTAAAAACAGAAATGATGACGTGCGTAGCTCTTACTTTATTTAAAAACGTAAGTTTATTTCATAATTGACAGATTATAAATATAACCTTAAATTAAACTAGGCCATATTATTGAAAATTAAATTATTATTAGGTAACTTTTGTATTTACACTTTGTTTCGTAAAGCTAAGGCTGACAAAGGCACATAAAACTGCAAATATTTTCCCATTTAACCTAATTCATATCTCTTATACTTTCTGAAATCCCCATACTATTCATAAAAGAAGTCAACCTGTATGGATCAGACATCCCCTCCGTAGAAAGCGGCGAAAAACTGATAAAAAATGCTCATTTTGTTGTTCTGTTATTTGTTTCGTTAAATGACCAAGAATAGTGTTCATGGAAAAGACTATAATTTGCATGGAGCATTAATAAGCGACGATGTGATGTTGCATTTTAAATTGTCTCAAAACTTCGAAAAACTGCAAATTAAAAGTCATGCCAATCATAACGGTAGGAACTGGAATGAAACTGAATGCGCGTTGATTAAAAATGCATAAGTATTGTGCGACTCTGAACCATAATTGTGAATGAGAGCTGAAATTCTTTCTCCAGGATTACGATTTAAGTGCCATGAAATATTAAACTTTATGTTTCGTTTTTCATGAAAAAGTAGGTTAAAGCTCTTGGGAAACTATATTCATAATCCTATTGTTTTAAGCATGTATTTGAAGAATGGACTTTAATTCAAATTGCCAAATCGTTTCTGCAGATAGTAAAGTACACATACACATACACATACCTACGCATGTTTGTTTTATACAAAATTGCGAAGTAATTTTCACTCTCGTTTTCTCCCTTAAAAAAATAAGGTCGGCGTGATGACCTTTTCAACTTCGAATAAAATCTTGTAAGCCTAAACTTTTCCACCACACGTTTTATTATTCTCTGGTTTTTACATACAATTATTTGCCTGGCAGTTGCACTGTTTCCCAGTGCAGATGGAAAAAAGGCGAATACGTGGAAGTTTAATACAGAATGGCTTACTTGTATGAAGTTGAATTTTTATTTGTTTAATAACTTATTTATAGCTATAGGGTAGGAAGTAGAATTAAAATTCATGCTACGTGCTGTTGATAATGTGTTATATCCCGCAAAAGACGTCGGCAGTGTGTTTCATTGATTTGTTCTCTTTATTTCGCTTTTCCAAATATGTAGGTACGTATCCTGTCAATGAAAGAGTGATTTCCTTTCTGAAAGGTGCCAATTATGATTATATTTCTAATTGCTAAATGATTGATCTGTATACGACGTGCTCTAACCTTTGAATATAAAATATTCAAAGCTCTAACTGAAGTCGACAGTATTACTAACTTTGCTATTGGCTATTTACCTATAGTCCGGGAAATAGAAACTGAAAATGAACTATTTCCTGCAAAAGGTAGTTCCATTTTGTTTGCATGTCATGGAGGATCATCTGGTTGTCGACCCCCACCCCTTGTGCTTAAACTTTACAAGAATTCCTTGTCACTAAGCTTAACCTTACCACTAAACCTTACCTTTGTAAGCACCAAGTCTTCAACCAAACACGGTAAGATAGAACCTCCCTTCAACTGCTGCAGTAAACGTTAGTAATGGGTTCGACCTGGAATTTTAATTCGCAGAGGTCATTTGTTTGCCCAAATAATAATAGTTAAAAGCTCGAGAACCTATTGGCTCGAGAGCTTTTTAAACAAAAAGTTGGGCAATTAACTCTAAATTTTTCACAGAGCGCCGCCGTTGTTATACGTAGATTTTCACTGTTTTTCTTTTCAATTAATCTTTTGCAGTAACTCATGAGTCGCTCTTCACACTGATTTAATCGTATAGGTGACTTCAACTGTTGATTGCATGCGTATGTTAATGATAGGGCGAACTTGTTACTCATTTGCTAAATATAAACTCAGTGTAGATCTTGAAATATTTTAAAAATGTGGCAAATCTTAAATGGTTAAGCCTTAAAATATTACTCTCGCTGCTTCATAGGACCTTAAGAAGGAAAATTGATTAGTCAGGAATAAACAAAATAGACATGAAATCACTAGATATTAATATGTTTAAGAAACCATAGCTGGTTTATATTCATAGTAAAGCAGCTGTAAAAAAATAGTTTTATATTTGGATTTTTATTCTTCTTAAAGAGGATAACTGAGAAATAGACTACGATAGATTTTTAATAAGTTTTAAAATAAGAATGGTTTCAGAAACAATTCATATAACAATTAAGAGAAAAACCAAACTTATTTAGACTAATTAAACGTGTGCTGATCTAAAATGCCTGTTTTTCCACGTCCACAGTTGACCGAAAGTCCGGAATCAAAGATTGGCCGCCAAGATGGGTGTCCGGAGCATGTAGCCACAGAGTTGTATATAAGTAAATAGAGAGACAGTCTTGTAGCGAAAAATTGACTCCAATTGAACCTTGCGCAGGCCGTTGGTGAGTGTGCGCAGTAATCGACAACAGAACCAGCTTCAAATTAAATGACCCTTAAAGCAGGTTCGGCTTGAGAATAATATGGTTTCTCATTGCAACAAAAATTGAAAAGAAATTCAATGTGTGGTGAATGATTTTGTTAACACTGTATCTTGAATAAATAAGAAACATTACAATCGTTAAGAACTTTTAATACAGTAGACTACAATACAAAGCTGGTAAGGGGCTTACAACATCAGAATCGAGATTTGAGATTCTGGTATAAAGGAAATCGTATATTTGTCGTGCGATCGAGTTTAAAGATCTGTTTATGCACTCAGTGAGTATAAAAATAAGCAATGAAAGAATAAAATAAGTTGAAATTTTATTTTGGTGCGGGACAAAATTTCAGATGGGTATATGCACAGTTCGATCAACGGGTAGCCACAAAGTAGACAAACTTCAAAATTACCAATAACCAAATTATCTCAAAAAGGAGCATCAGCAGGGGAGCAATATCAAACCTATTCCGTATTTGTGGACCTATTAGAAGATAATGAAGAGTATTTAAAGCTTCTCGTGACTACGGCGCTTACCATAAAAGCTACTCTTTCCGCGATCCGATTTTGCGGTTCATTACGACTTTAGTTTACCCTGAGATTTTCACAACCCACGACTTTACAGTGCTCTCTATCCGTGACCACCCCATTTTGTTATTGAAAGCATAGGGCTACTAGCAGTTCATGTACTATACGGTCTAAGAAATTAACACATATCAAATTGCACATTGTCAATAAATTCATTTGTCGTAGGAATGTTATTTGCTTCTAACCAAGAACGCATCACTTCCTTACGATTATTCATTGTTGGTGGCTTCTGGCTTATTTATTTGAACACTGTGGTAGGGTGCGTTATCCATAACCACAATTGAGTTTGCTGATAAATTTGGTATAAGCTGCTTCTCATAACCACTGCATAAAGTTGGTATGGTTCATATCATCGTGATAATCCCCCGATTTATTATTATTTGTTATTTTCCTCCTAATAATATCTAATAATGCTAGGACCGGGAAGAAATATGGGTAGGCCCCATTCTCTTTCAAATGAGCCGGCTATCGTCAAAGTCTATGCAGTTTAATGATAAATAGTGGAGTGTATACAAATACAACATATTTTGAAATGGGCGTTAGTTTTAATTTTATTCAAAGTGTCTACATATGGACCTTTTTATAAATGCTTTCGTAAATAGCATTACACATTGTCTACGTTAGAAATTTCATTGAATACCTTCATAAGTAAAGCATACAGCATGCGTTAACAGTAATTTTGAAACCGGTATTAGTTTTAGTTTCATTCAAGGTGCTTACATATAATATTTCGTTTACCTACTTTCATAAATAAGAAAGTTGCCATTGGGCATGCACAAAACCAAAAATATCGGAATGCACGGAATCCTTGGGCCAAGTCCTTTCAAATGAGCCCTATATCGGCCAAATCGGTTCAGTGGTGTAGAAGGAGTACGTGTGACAAAGTGCAGTTCACTTTGAGGAAAATACGCTAAAAATCCGCACAGTTTATCATTCGCGTTCGCAATTATTATCCAACTATCTATCCCAAAATTTTGTTTGAATTAAACGAGGGTTCATTTGTTACCTAACTCATTCATATCCGTTGAACGGACATTTTCTTGTTGGCCTCAAAGTTCAGCGCCGTTACATGCTTTTTGCGCCAACTGTAGGTGTGACGTTCTAAGTATGCGAAAGCGCCTAACAAGGATATTAAGCGGAGCTATAAATTTCATTCGCTTTTTTCTTACGTTAAATGAGTGTGACCTCCAATTTATACGCAATTTAACTAAAATATATTACCCTGTCCTATATCCTCGCGAATTGAATTCTTATGTCGTATTTTGCAATGTTAACAGAGGTGGTAATCCACAACGTATAAACTTTGAGCTTTATTTGACAAATTGCAGAAACCCTTTAGGTGGTTAACAAGAAAAAACGAAGGTACGAAAAAATATTGATAGATATAATTTTTAAGAGTAATATAGTTAGTATCTCGAGGGTTGTAGATAAAAACACCGTCTACTCGTGATCCATTCATATAAATTCCGGCAGTTGTAATAATTAATTTACTACAAAACCTTGTGATATAGGTACATATTTTTCTGCATTATGAAAAAACTTATAGCTCTTCGCATCATTATAATATAAATAGGCACAATGTCCGAGTAACATATGCGTCTGTCCATCATAGACGTGCATTTTAGAGGTAATTCATTTTCCGACCGACTTGCTTTTCGATAAATTAAGTAATAAAACTGTCTAAAGTGGCAGTTATTAAATTAATGTTTTTGGCAATTTAATTAAATCCTATGTTAAAACAATTTTGCAAATCGTGCATTAGTTAGAATTAGTTAGAAAGCGGCAGCGATGTGATTTGAACCGTGACTGACAGGTGGGACTGCCGCAGGTGTCCGGGGATGAACAACGACGATTATGTTCAGAACAAAAGTATGGAGCTGCTGAACAAGGGATCGGTATTGGCCTATCATTAACAACATACGGCTCCGTTGCCTATCAACTAAAGGACGCGAATTTGGAGGCTACGAGCACATGTGATTTTGTCTGTAAAGCGTTGACAATTGTAAATAGAACAGGTAGGTTAATTTCTGTATTTATTTTTGCTAATACTATAATTCATTAAAAAGAACCTCATTTTATTAACGATCCTCGAGATCGTTTATATGTAAATTTGTATTTCTGTCTGTTTGTCTATTCGTATGTCTGTCCATGTGCACTTTGTTTAGAAACGTCCGATCGCTTTGAAAATTGCTGCTCATGTTCTTAAGGATATAAGAGAGGACGCTATTGTTTTTCAGGTACGCAGTCCTTAGTCTTGAAAATAACGGGTACCAATGTACAAGTTTGCTCCGAAAAAACACAAGACCCTTGGTTTACTTTCGTTGGCAGTAATTTAATTTTCTCTCACTGATGAGTTAATTCTAGAGAAATCTTTCTTTTAGGGAGTCTCAATCTGGTTGATACTGTAGGTGGAGACCCACCGGAATGTTGAAATAACGCAATCTAAAGCAAGCCACAAAGAAATCTTTAATACAACTACCCCTTTGTCCCCATTGTTATTCGGTTGTCTATTTTCGACGTTGACAAACCATCAATAGAAACCCACTACGTCAATTTGTCAGAGCTTTCACCCCAATATTTAGGTCATTTAACTAACACAATAATAGTCATCGCATGTCCTAGACAAAAAGCTTATCAATTTTCTTTATTTGTATTATTTTATTCATTAACCACCAAACAAACAACAAGTGGATTAAGTTAACACTCTTAAGCGGAACCCCAATTTGTTCCATTGCGAAAGTATTGTGCTCTGCATTTTGTGCTAATTTGTGCGCCAATTCCCAAATTATGTGCGCTTTTTCCTTTGCGGGTCCAACTTATTACTGGAACACCATCATTCTCTCTACTGTAGTTTTGTGCCGACTTTTTTGCGCCAATACTCAGGTTTTTTGAGTTCGGAGAATTTCAACTTTTCTTTTATAATCGGATCGACTTGAGACCTATGTCATTGTTTTGAACTTTTCTCTAATTTGACTATCATCGTATATTCTATGCTTTCCAAGATCCCTATGATAGACAACCTTATCTTGGATACAGTGTACCTATAATAGGCAGCCATATCAAATAATAATAACGTAAAGGTACTTCTATTAATTACGATAAGTCGTTAATCATTATACATTTAAACTGTGTAAATTAACAGTTGTGATGTAGGTAATTTCTGCATTCGAGTTGCATATTTCTTTTTTCTCGTACAAGTCATTGATTCATTGTACACTTTCCACTTGCTACTTTTCCGACAGCAGCATGCAACGTAGTGGTCTAAGTAGTTTTGTTTGCTCCTTGTACGAAATCAATCAAAAATCAATCAGCTCCTCGCAGGGCTCCTCCTAACAAAAAGTGTGTCTAACCCAATTTCAAAAAACGTTGCAAACTGGAAACGCACAACTGGATAATAGCCGAAGCAGAAAAAATACGTAAACAGAATAATTGGCGCTACCACCCTCGTAGATGTTAGAAAGATCAGGCGGCAACTTTTCTAAGGGACCTCTCACAGGCAAGTACTACCAATCAAGTACAACGCAAATAACTTGACTAGCCCTCTTTTATTTACAGCAAAAATGGTTGTAAGAAAGATATAACTGTTAATAAATCTGTTACTATATACAGAGTGATTCAAAATTGAGTGCAAAGATTTTAAGGGCGTATTTACCAGCCAAAAATAAGAATTTTTTTATATAATCGTATGCCTTAACTTGATTCGTTTTCTAAATACAGGGTGTAAAAGTTTTTAAAAAAGTCGGTTTTTATTTATTTTATTCCCACCAAGTGAAGGTTTTTGAATAATTGATTTTAAAAACAAATTTATACTCTGTATCTTAAAAACGAAGCAAGTTAGGACTACGATTACATGAAAAAAATGTCTTATTTTTGGCAGGTAAATACACCCTTGAAATCTTTGCACTCAATGTTGTATCACCCTGTACAATGTAGTCCCTAAGATCCCTCGGACCATAACTCATTTACCATTAAAGATACCGAAAAAAGTCTTAGAGCAAAATTGTACACCATTACCGCCTGCATGTTTCTAAAATATTTTTGATCACCAGGGGCATACTGTATTCTAGTGACGTATCAAACTTGCATTTTTTTAAATGGAACACCCCATATTTTATTACTCATTTGAAGAGTACTTGAAAAGTGATATACCCCTAACTAACTTTAACGATGTCGCTGGTATAACCTTTTTTCGTCAAAATTTGACAGTTTTTCGAAATTTTTTTTGAGAGAAGCTAAATCGCGCAGGCGGCTAATTTTTGAATTGAGGCACAGGTTAAGACCCCTTCCACTGTCACATAATTTTTTTTAAGTACTTTAAATGGCACCCCCCTAAACAAATTGTACCTCTGGGTAACCAAAACTAAATTGTCCTCTGATATAAACAAAGCCACACACTCCATAATAAAATTTGAGAGAAAAACCAAGTCGAAACGCCAATTTGTAAAAAAAACGTTCTTTTCAGAACCCAAGTGTGCCATGAACTTTGAATATATTATATTCAAAGGTGACCATGATGAAACAAAAGATGTTCAATTCTCACAATTAACAGTACAGTGTCCAAGTACAGTCTCCAAGAAGAAACACCATATCAACCAATTCTGCTTGTGTTTGGAACATTTTCGAGACGATGGTTAAAAAACAATCATACACTGCCGACACTGTACTGTTAATTGTGAGAATTGAACATCTTTTGTTTTATCGTGGCACACTTGGGTTCGGAAAAGACAAATTATATACCAGCCGTAAGCTTACGGTTGTACTCAACAATTTCATTTCTATCTCTACTATCGCAGCGAAAGGACGTAGCAATGGACGATAGGTACGTTTGACATGGATACATTTATCGGACTTAACTACAAGTGCGGTTCATATTACCGCAACACACAGTACAACAACTGGAACCATGTTGTGGGGCCACCGCTCGGTACAGTCGATGTGACCACACTTCTGTGGTTCTCTTAACTGCGAAGTACGGCTCGTGTAACAGCATTATTTGCATTGAATATGCAAAAATATTTGATTTGTATGTATAGAAGCGATTATAATTTTACGTAGCGATCACTGTCACAAAATAGCGTCTTATTCAGGTGGTTGGAGAAAAAAGACATTTTCATAAAAAAAATATAAAAACAAGTTTTTGACGGGATAAAATCGGATAGACGGACACAGGAAAATGACAAGTATACAGTGTGTCCCAGATCGGGTGGGATTGCATGGGTAACTTTCTTATTATTAAAGATAGAGAATTGGTTAAATGGACAATGTTTTGCAGTTTTAGATGCTTATTGAAAATTTCCTTGTGGAAATGCAAAATGTCGAATAGGTTCGACGTAAATACAAAAAAACTAAAATTGGTCATTTCCTTGAATGTCTTATATTATCGAAATTTTGAGGAACATTTACCAACTTTCTAAAGTTAAATAGGCGCCATATTGGATTTTTAAATTATTTGATACATTTTTTAATTTTCTTTTCAACGAGCTATCATAGCATAAGATTGTAAATAAGATACCAGTTATATCAACGGTTTTTATATTTTAATCAAGTAGGCTGTGGTTAATTAACAAAAAAACAAAACAAAATCTATTCGAGGCAACAAAAGACAGAAAATAATTACTTCAGATGCTTAAAATACTGGCCGTCATTAGTGAAACACACTTCCAGACAGTTTATTTTAAGCAACGTGTTGCCATTGATGATATAACACGCCTTTAGAAAGGTTTCGCGCAGTTGTGTACGTTATTATTATTATTATAGTTACGTTCATATTCTTTATTCTTTAATGTACAATGTACACAATTCGTGAATTGTGACCTTGGCAGCCACCTTGATTGTTGGTAGGTACCATAAACCAACCCTTTCTGCAAAACATACGTTGTCTAGAAAATCCTTGAAGGAAGTTTATTGGAGAATTTGTAAATAATGGTGAGCAGTTAAAAGTCTATCGAAGATTACCGGTCCAATTACATGACTTCCCATTATGTCAGAACACTCCGCAGTTAGAAAAATAAGACTCATCTGTCCATATACTCCGAGATATACTCGGACTGGTAAAACTGCAGTTATTTTCGGATAAACCACCTACAAAATGTGACCTGGGACAATGCATCAATGGTAACACATTGTGTAAAGTAAAGCGAAGTGTCTTTAAATGTGTTTAACTGGATAATCGCATGACATTTTTTCGAGGGGATAGTTTGTAGTTATACCACCATTTTGTAGGTATCTAAGTATGGATAATAGGATAGTCAATAAGTGACGTCATAAAAGTCAACACTTTTCTAGGCCTACTTATATAAAATTTTGGAGGGAGTTGTAACGCCCAAAGCCCCCTTCCATGAGTGCGCCCCTGATATTTTAAACATCTGAAGTAATTATTTTCAGTCTTTTGTTGCCTCGAATAGATTTTGTTTTGATTTTTTTAAATTCACCACAGCCTACTTGATTAAAATATAAAAACCGTTGATATAACTGGTATCTTATTTTCAATCTTATGCTGTGATAGCTCATTGAAAAGAGAATTAAAAAATCTATCAAATAATTTAAAAATCCAATATGGCGCCTATTTAACTTTAGAAAGTTGGTAAATGTTCCTCAAAAGTAGCCATCTTGAATTTTTTTAGACATCGATTCTAAATGAAGCGTATCAAAGACAGTAACTTTTATATAAAACTTTTTTTTATATCTCTTATTCTTTAGATGATATAAGACATTCAAGGAAATGACCTATTTTAGTTTTTTTGAATTTACGTCGAACCTATTCGACATTTTGCATTTCCACAAGGAAATTTTCAATAAGCATCTAAAACTGCAAAACATTGTCCATTTAACAAATTCTCTATCTTTAATAATAAGAAAGTTACCCATGCAATCCCACCCGATTTGAGACACACTGCATATCACCAACTTATTTTTTGATTTGATTATTTCTTATCGCTTGGTAAACATACAGCGGGAGTAAAATCATCTTATTCATCACGTTTCGAGTAATTCCGTGCAAATCGAAGGAGAGGATGGTTTTATCAGACTTCCCACTACTCAAGAACGGAAAAGATCTCGTTCACATCATTTGGTGACAAAAGCGTTCACCACTAGATCAAGGCCCAGAGTTAAACACATTGAGAGTTGCCAAAGATTTGTAGATAATACGGACCAGTATGGTCTTTAAAATTACTGTTAATCTTCGGCCCAATACTGTCGGAATGCGAAGCAGTATTTAGGGCTTTTATTCGAGGGAAAATGCGGAGTTTTTTGCCATAAAACTTTTTTGGGGCGCTGGTACTACGAAATTATGGGCCTCGCGTATGGTAACGGAAAAATAACAGAAATGGTGCGCCATGTATGTTCATTTGGAATGAAGATCTGGTAAATGCTAAGTGCAAGCAGGGCGCGAACCTAGGCGCGAACACACGTATTGAACAGAATTATAGAATTTCGCCATAAAATTACCTTGTTTTTGACCACTTGGGTGCCTTCTTGAAATCTGTTTGCTGATTTGGCGGGGTTTGTCACTACACATTTGGAGGAAGCAGGAGATCTAGATTACGATTATCACTTTCTCTAAGAAGACGAATACAAATTAAGGTACCTATTTAAACCTTATTGTTTGACAACGCTCCGATTTGAGGGAGAGAGATACAAATGTTTATTTACAACTTTCATTGACAATGGCGACTTTCAACCCGTTTTAATGTTCGTCCTCATGATCGTATTCTACTGCACTTTCGAAATGTGGGAATTCCAGGAAATATGAAAAAAGTGGCTATACCAATAGTAGTTGAGGGTTTACCGCGCTTGTCAAAATTTAGCCACCTTTTGTGTATTATAAATGAGGTTATGACTCATGATACATGTGAACCCCATCAGAAGATGCACAGTGCACACGATAGCTATTTTAAAAAATTGCTTATTGTTCCATAAGCGTTGACATTTCCCTTTTTGTCTTTATATCACAAACAAAACCTCGAACAAAACACAAATCACGCATAAAAGCTCCTCAAACACGGTCTCCGATTGAACTTTTTTTCATTTAACTATACCAATGAATCAGTTTTCATAGAAAGTTAACAAAAAGATTGCTTGAAAACGACACATTTGTATCGAAAATTTAACCTCATGTTCAATTGTTAGTTTCGATCGATCTCGTCGTGACCCTTGCAAGAATATCAATGGCAGCCGTATGATATGTCATTTGAAAGCTTATTCATTTCTCTAACAAGACCTCACTCATGGCCTAATGTACTATTATTAGGCCATGGCCTCACTAAGGTTTCGATTTCCATAGCAAAGCGGATTACTGTTTAATTGAAAATGATACAAATATCAAATGCTGCGGAAAATACCTTCGCTAACCAAGAATGGAAAATCAAACTGTGTCGAATAGTCGAAGCTCATTGACCCCAAAGCGAAAATGAAATTTTTTAACACGATTGGAGAGTGTGATTGTGAGTGACTGAAATTTTAATTTCTTAAGCAGTAATCACTTTATCTGAATAGACCAAAGAAGTGTTGGATAATTGAATACGCTCTCTACGGCTCCTTGTGGCATTGACATTTTTTAAGGGGACTGACAACTGATTGACGTATAAGGAAATGTAACATTTGAAAATGAGTTTAATCAACTTGGTTCTCCTTGGGTACAAATGTAATGCTCATTTTTTCGTTGTACCCTGTATGAAGGGTGTCGCATTTTTATTAGTTGACAGTTTTTCTCGTCTAATTGCTAGGCAACACATATTTTCATTACCTTAAAAACCCAAATTTACTCGGTAAAATACAAACCTCTTGTGCAGAGCTGGGTCGAGCGTTGTAAAAAAATCGCTCGAGCGGCGAGCGCTCTTATTTTCTCAAAAGTGCTCGCGAGCATAGAGTTGTTTTGCTTAACCCTTCAGCGCTTGAGTGCGGTTAAAAACGCTCACAAGCGAAAAAAAGCACTCGCAAGCGGAAAAAGAGCTTACGAGCGAAAAATAAACGCTTGTGAGCAGAAAAACCGCTCGCGAGCAGAAAACAGCGCTCGAGCGCCGAGCACTTTAAGTAAACGCTCGAGTATCGAGTACCGATACCGAGCAGTACCCAGCTCTGCTCTTGTGCAATTATAAGTGAAAAAAAATTACCCTTATGTGATGGTTTTGTCCGCCTGTTCCTCGTCTAACTCGAGAACAAAACGGAACAGCGATGTCAAACCTTCGTCAATCGATTTCTACGAGTTGAAGGACCAGTGCTACTGAATATAAACCAGAGTAAAGTCTGGTTTCCGAATGCGGTTATTCTTCGTATCTTGTTTTTCATTATTGCGTGCATTGACCCCAAAAACCCATGTCCGCATACCAGAATATTAAAATTCACATCATTCTGAAAAAGGGTAGGAAAATCGGAATTTTTGCACCATTTTACCCCAAATATCAGAGATCGCAGTTTTTCACTTCCGGACTTATTTTTGACCGTTACATCATGTTCCGTCACACCAAAAAACGAGAGTCCAGGCCTTTTAACAGTAAAAATATGGCATTTTAGACAGAGAATACGCCAGGGTGCTCTGAAAATCGCCATATTGGACGCCATCTTGAATATTTTCCAACTTGGCAACAGGCAAAATCGGATTCAATCGAAATAGAGGAAAACCACTTGTAAACTCTATTGGTTCACGAAGTGCTTCTAGTATTTGGATTTTCTCAAGAGTAGCCGGACGGTGATCGCGATGTAGGAGAAATGCTGACTGAGTTGTGCTTCGGGGAACTTGCTATATACTAATTATGTAAAAAGCTTGAGTGATCCAGGGGACCAAAAGAGTACAACATCTCGCTCCCTTAATTAATACGTAAATAATGTATCAATTAAATAGTCTCATACTCATTAGTAATCTATTCAAGGGCAACCCATCAAAGGAGGAGAGCATTGGGTTCCGGACGTCCAAAGTGTTCAACCAAAAGTGCAGAATCAGTGTTTATTACCCACAGTTCTCCGCTATGGTTTCCAGCTCCCCGTTTATCTAAAAATTTTGGTTATGAACCACCCCTGAAACTAGTAAATTACATACAGGTAGAAAACACGATTTTTTGAAGATCTACATCCCGTCGTCTTCCAGAAGCGTGGTATGAACGTTTCACGAACCAACACGTTATAGAAACTGAAAGGTGGCATTTTTAGCGCATTTTTGGAACATAATACGCTATTATATTCAATATGGCTGGCTGGCTGTCCGGCTGAGATCTCTGCAATTACTATAGCTAAGAGACTCCTAGTCTATTTTGAGTTAGATTACTTGTGAGATCGATAATTTAAGAAAATAATTTCGATATGGTTTTCGGAGACGCTATAATTTTACCGTTGGATAGAGTTACCAGTGTAATTTTAAACTTTGCTAATGAAACACTGATCTGCATTACCAAAAATGCGCTTTCATCATGCATATGCTGATTTACAACTTGTTTGAGGTAGCATGTGATTGCTAAATAATGAAATAGGAATGAGGTTCATTTAATGAAATGTTCTTGGTTCAGTTATCTTATGTATAGGGTGCATCACTAATATACACATAATTTTTCAGTTGTGGTTACAATCGTTTTGATCTGCCTGTCAACCCTTCCACTTCTAATGCTTATCATGGGTAAGTGTAGTAGCGCACATTTGCGTGTCGCATGCAACCAAGTGCTTCAATTATCGTAAAACGCTTTTTCATTATCCTTTTCACTAGATAGGTGTACTTACATCGCATGTTGAAACCGGCGCGGCTGAAATCCACCTCAATAGCGAAATTTTTATATGTATTCTTAAATACAAATCGGTCCTATTAAGATTATAGCTTTCAGCAAGTGAGATCAACATGTGCATCTTTTTCTTTGAATTTTTAGTCAACAAATTGTATAATCGAGTATGCAGCCCGAAAACGAGAAAATTCATATAATTTGCTATAATAGGTTTTTTTATAGAACATCTTATCTATTAATTTATTTATTTGATTATTTATTAATCGATTCTCGATTTTACGAAAAGGCATAGAACGAATACGTTAAATATTGGCTCAAAGGTGCCAGACACACACACCTACGTTACAATTAGCAAAGATAGGTTAAACTAGCCAAAAGTGTGAAATACCTTAGGTTAGCCCTAGGATTCTGAGTTTCCGGACACTTATTTAGGTGAATGCCTTCATTATTTGCATCACCTCTACAACTAAATCCGATGGCCAAAACCGCCCGCGACATCGGCATATAAAGCCTATAACAGGTGGCCCAAAAGTTTTATATGCCATCTTATGTTATGTTATATGTGTAAAGTCGGATGTGATGAAGGAATTTCAACTCATTTATTTTTCGTCGACTGACATGAATTTTCGGTCTATTACGAACCGTCTTTAATAAATTAAAATCGGTATAAAGATGCTATGTAAATTTTAACATGATGTAGCGCCAGGAAACGATGCCGGTCACAGCACACCTTGTGTCGATCTACAATCATCGACACGATACTATCTCGGAAATTCCTCGCATCTTTAGAAAAATATCGATTGTAGACCGGGATCAGGTGTTCTGTGACCGGCAATTTTTCCTGGCGAGAGTTTTATCTAAATTAGTATTTCTAAACGAGCGTTGAAAAACCTTTCCTAAATATTAATATGGATCACCTCGTAAACGGACGATCTTTATTTGACGCAGTTTCGATGCTATAAATGTTCGTAACATATCACATTAACGAAACTTGAATGGCCCACTTGTATAAACAACACAATGGATGATCCGATCCATTATAGTTCTAGGAAGTAATAAATGAACGAAATGGATATTTAACATGTAAAGAAAGCGTTCTGGAGGTGGTCAAGCATAGCCATTGACCGGGGAAAGATGTAAAAAGATGCAACTTAAACTAGCAACTGTGTTAAAACGTCGACGATGACATCTAAAATTGTAACGTAAAGTACTAAGACACATCGTAAAATATAGGGTCCTAATCTAGGTCCTAACACTATTATCATCTAAGAGGTTTGATTCTGAAGAGGGTGGGTGGTATAATAATCATTGTTAATAGGGTAGTACTGTTTTTGACAAGTTGTTTGGCATTTGTAGGATTTCAGTGTGAGGTTTTGAATCTCAAACTGTAAAGGTTCAACATAGCCAATCAAACAAAACAAATTTTTTTAAGGAAAGGCGCATAAACGCTGAGAGTAGGCGCACAAATCTTCACAAAACTCTTTTAAGTCATTCTGAGAATAAGGGGTGATGGGTTAAGTTGCAGTCTCCTACAACAATTTTAAGTTTCTTCAAAACAAAGGCGCTCAAAATTGTCGTATCGGTCCACATATACCGGGTGGTGCCTAGCGCGACGCAGCATAGAGATTTCAGTAGTAATTTCTTTATAGTCAATTACTAGGTCCCCTATTATAGTTATTTTAGAGCAAAAGTGTAAATACGATTTTTTAGAGAAAAAAATACTGCATCTGTTCATACTATTACTTATAATTTTACGTTTTTCAAAACCGTAGAAATCGACAAATTAAAAAGGTTAATTTTACAATAAATCAAATATGCCTTGGAATTTCCTAAAAAAACAGCGATCACGCTTCTTTATTTACCTTTGACGTATATTAAATTTATTCTTGTTTATAAATTAGTTAAAGAACTGCAAGAGCAATAACGTTCAAAATATCCGTCAAAACCATCAGGAAAACGACAATACATTCAACGTTTTGGCTGCAGTAGCGGAAAATACGAATATAAGAACAAATCTTCTTCAAATCAGTTTTTTTCTTCGTTTATGTAGGTACTCTGGTTCGGAAAATGATAAACAAATAGTATCTGATGCACATGCAGTATACATTCTCTAAAAAAACATTACCCCAAGATGCCTTTTATTGCGTCAGTTAGTTGAAACAGAATTAAATATGAAAATCATTCGACGTCAAACAACGATAATTTAGATGCGATGCGTTTCTATTTTGTTGAAAGATTCCAAAGCATCACTGATTTATAAAAATGTAATTTTTTATTTTCTCGATTTCTACGGTTTTGAAAAATGGAAAATAATAAGTAATAATATGAACAGATGCAGTATTTTTTTCTCTAAAAAAGACGTATTTAGACTTTTGCTCTAAAATAATTTGGGGAGCTAGTAATTGACTATAAAGAAATTACCATTGAAATCCCTATGCTGCGTTGCGCTAGGCACCACCCTGTATGAACAAAACACGCACAAAGCTATATTAGTGTCGCCATAGTGTAAAGATTCTTTACACTAAGGTGTCGCGTCGATACGAGGAAGTTGTTTAGCATCACCACCAACGGAAAATTTTTAACCGAAACGAAGGCGCACAAAACTTGGAGATTGGCACACAAAATAGGCACAAAACTATTATTTGTCTCATGTGGATGCGAGAATTGTGGTATTCCAGTATTAAATCGGATTCCCGCAACGTAAAATTTTGATTGTCTCGTAAACGAGAAGCGCACAACATTGGGGGATTGGCGCATACATTAGCATAAAATGAGATGTAATAAATTGGTAAAGTAAGGTAACGTCTTGTACGTGTGTTACAGTTCAAATTTCAATTTCCTATAGCATTTTAGTACCTGGCTTTATACAAAATTTGTTAGATGTCGTTTAAGGTTTTAAAGTAAAATTTAAGGCGATAAATGATAACGCCGATCGCTATTATTGGAATAATTGGGTATTGTTGCTTCGCACTTGGTCGTTGTTGCATCCATTTTGATATTAATCGAGTGCGAATATAAAAGTAATTGAGTTATCCTTAGTAAAGGTAGTTAGAAGTATCTAATTAGCATTGTCTTAGAAGACTTGATAACTCAAGAATTAATTGATTTAAACAGCAACTTATATCTGCAGGCCGCCCGTTATCTCAGGTATTATTTCTATTGTATTACGCGGTTTTATCGTCAATAACTATTTTAGGCCTGTTTATTTTTCCGTTTTCTTTCCCATTTTGGGATTTCGCCTACTTTTGATTTGGAATCGTATATAAAGGAGTTCGTCCGGAAATTAGACGTACCCTATCACCGTTTCTACTTGAAGATAATTGCCCAGGAAATGCCGCACGCCAAGGAGATTATCACCTTTACCAATTTATCAAAATGGCCGCTGTCGTCCCAAAGATAAGCTAAACTTCAGTTAAGGTCAGCTCTCTTTTATATTTATTATCACCAACTATTGGAGTCGCCGAATTTCCGTTTACTATCGAACATCGAATATCAACTTTAACTTTCTTATATCGAACGAATACATTTTTTTTATTAAGTTATTATCACTAATTAGAGTCAAATTTTGAAGTAAAATTCTGTCAGGGAATCTACGAGGTCGCTCCAAAAGTTACTTGAACGCGTTATAAGGTTGCGTGTATATTTAGGGTGTTCCCTTAGGCGGTATCGTCAAACCAAGTTAGCATTACAGTATTTTAGTTATTAATTTTAAAACTTGGTTTGGGGAACCGGGTTGCGAGCGCTCCCGACTCACACCTACAGCCCTTCCGTCGGCACAATTATTGCAGTTTTTTTTTGGTTTTATCACAGGTACCATAATTAATATAAGTACCCACAATTATTATAGTTATTCCAGAATTCGTAGATTTTCATTTGCGTCAATTTGTTAAATCAAATATTCAACTCAATTTCACGTACTTATTGTTTTTAATTTAATTCTGTATTCGAATCGTATCGAAGTTAATTTAATAGAATACTACTATCTTAGCACCGCGTAATTTATTTATCTATTTATTACTAGAGATTTTAATGGACTTATCCTGGGTCAGGTAAGCAGTACTGAATTGGTGACAGTGATTAAAGACCCTGGCGCCCTTATCTCATTTTTATCTATGCTAAGAACCTACGCCCTAGCGGCCGTGCATACTGTTCCAATAGAATTTGTTAGCATTCTCTGGAAATTATTATTTATTTTAAATTGCGGTAGCACGTGATTGTAAAACTTTGCATATGTGCTCAGTGAGTTTGTCATGACCTCTATAAATATGAATACTTAGTCATCATTCGAAGGTAGGTATAGGTATCTACCTAACTAGAAACTCTGGTTGCGAAAACTGCATTTAGCAATACGCAAATTACAATAATGAAAAAAAAATGTGGTTATTAATAAATAACTAAATTCCGATCATTGTCTAGAAAAATTTTGTTTGCATAGTATAACTTCCGATGTTTTAATTTCCGCAGTTACACATTTTGGTGTAACCGCACTTTCAAGCTGCCGACGTGAAAGTTCGGCAATTCATCATTGAAGACGCCACTATATTTGAAATTAGTTTCGAAGAGTTACTACCTAAAACATCTTTTCAAAATGTCAACGCAAAAAATAATAATAACCAAGCTTTAATGTGGATACTGACCAATATCGAATTCCACGATATACCGTTACGTAGTTATGCGGTCTCGATATCAATCAATAAAATTGCAATTTAGGATTGCAATAATTGGTTTCTGATACGTGAAGCGGTTCATTACCTGAGAAAAGATTGGATGTAATTCATGTATTAGGGGGTATATAGCAATCTTATTCCTCTAACCTCCAGTTTTTTTTTGTAATTTGACGTTGAAAATGAGGTTTTGCAACATTCTCTTATTTTTCAAAATAGTACCTTTAAAATTACCTTCGTGTGAAGGTGCCAACTTGATTAGTCATATTTTACCGACAACGTTTTCTTAATTCATTCACTACGTACCTAA